AATCAGCAAAACTCTAGGCTAGAAAACAGGAAACAGAAACTACTAAAATCTGAAATATTAGTTTCAGATTTTATTTTCAAAAATTGAATTTCCTAATTTATTTCCTAGAAATCTGACATATATATATATATATATATATATGTTTTTTTTTGTTTTTTGATAAGTTGCACAAGAAAGCGTTCAAACGCATCCTATAAAAAACTACACAAGGCTAAACAGGACCTCTAAAATCTCAAAGAGTCCAAAAAATCAACTCTCTACCCCATGGATTTACAATTTCTCCCAACAACGCAACAAAAAAGTGAGTAAATAGTAGAGAACTTTAGTGCCCCAATAGGAGTTTCCTCTCCATCAAAGGATCTCATATTCCTTTCTTTCCATAGCCACCACAAAAATTAATAAATATAATAAAAATAGTTTATAATTAATTTTGTCTTCTATTTTTTCATGAACCCAGGTCTTTGGGATTTGGGGCGTGAGAAAATATAGATATAAAAATGAGCTTATATAGTTGAGGATCAAGATACAAAAATGTAAACATTTTAATTAGTCAGGCTCAATTATTCATAATGAAAGAGAATTTGGAGATGATGTTAATAAAAGAATCAAGGCAAAATGGGTTAAATGGAGGGGTGCATTTAATATATTGTGTGATCGATGTATCTCATTAAGATTGAAAGGGAAGTTGTATGGAACAACTATTAGACCAGCCGTACTGTATGGGACAGTACGTTGGGTATCTAGGAAACAACTATGCATAAAGTGAGTGTGGCGGAAATGTGGATTTTGAGATGGATGTGTGGCAAGACACTATACGATGGAATTAGAAATTAACACATTCGTGAGATATTTGGAGTAACATCTATTGGAGATAAAATGGGATAACATCAGTTAAGATGGTTTGGACATGTGTAAAGAAGACCTTTTGTGATAGTTTTAATAAGAAAGAGTGACATGGTCCACATAGAGGACAACACTAGGAGAAGGGGATGAAAAAAGTTAACATGGGGTAAAGTTAACAAGGAAGGATATGATAACATGTGGTTTAGAGCTGAGGTTATGACCTTAGGTAGAGTGGAATGGAAGAATATGATTCATGCATCTGTTGCCAAGTAGTTGGGAAAAGGTTTTTTTTTTTTTTTTTTTTTTCCTAGTTGGTACTCACACACACTTGTAAGAGGCTGATACCGCTAGGCGCCCGTTGGATTGGGAAAAGGTTTTGTGTGTTGTTGTTGTATCTTTATATGTGTGTTTTGAAAAATATATTCTAGATTCTTTTGTATATGTTGAAATCATATTCTTTGAATGTAAAAGCATATTCATTATTAGATTTTATGAAAATCATGTTTTATTTTGATTAACATAATTTTGAACATTCGATTTGAGAAATTGTATGAAATATGTTCTCTGTTTGAATTGGAAATTATTGAATTTGGTGAAAAATCCACACTTTATATGTATCGGTGTCTGATGGGGGTCCGTGTTTACAGATGCTTTATTATAGCCAAGAGTTGAATTTTCAAGCCCTTATTGTACATGAAGTGCAATAAGCATGTGGTTTTCATTTTTTTTTTTTTGGGGGGGGGGGGGGGGGGGGGGGGGGGGGGCGGTTGATGCCTATTATGGATGGGATGCTTGTCGGGGGTCGCATGACGGTTGGAGGGAATGGCCAGTTAATGAAAATTTTGATTTGAAGAAATGGTTCTTGAATGAAATTAAATTGGGTTTGCAATGTATACAATTGAGTACTGTTTTATTCAATTGAAAGTGGGAAACCTGTTTTCTTATACAAGCTTGTGTGAATTGGGGATGGATGGCTTCCTACTGAGCTTTCCAAAGAGCGACACACCACCCCCCCCCCCCCCCCCCCCCCCCCCCCCCCCCCCCCCCCCGCCAAAAAAAACACACACAATGGAATTGAAGGGAAAAACTGGGAATATACTCAGTTAGCATGGAGAACTTGGCCCTGGTGCCTTAGGAAGCATTAGGTCTTAGTGCGAATGAATTATGTAATTTTAATTGAAGTTGGATAATTTGAGAAAGTTATACTTATTTCTTGGAAGAATATTAGTGCGAATGAATTTTTGGAGGATGTCTTAGTATCATACTTTGAATGCCTTGTTGACTTTTTCATGATTCTGGGTAATTGGGATTTAGGGTGTGACATATTGCCATAGATTGAGCGGAAGGGAATCCTTCGTGTAGCTCGCCCCAAGTAGTTAGGAAACGGCTTTTTTGAGTTAAGCAGATAAATGAACTTGGGTTTGAAGCACTATGTCAAGAGGAATTAAATCTTCTCTTTTTTCTTTGTGGAGGTTGGTGAAAGACAAGGGATCCTCATACTGATAATCATGAATGATTATGTTATATCATGGACAAAACGATTGATTTTGTTGTTCCCACTGCCAATAGTGTCAAACTGTGGGCATATGTATGTGTCTCATGTATCCTTGTGTAGCATGTCGCATATCATGTCAAATTCATATGGCAGATTGTAAATGCTACTTCATTTGCTAGTAGAAAATATGTCATTTATTGCTTCTCCCTCGTGATGTTCTGATTTGCAAGCAATCTGTACTCATTAGATACTTTTGTACTCATAATGTAGATTGTTCTTCTTTTGTAGCGTCGATTTCAGGGATGCACTGCCAACATTTATTTTGTCATTTACTTGTCTTAGGTATCACATCATATTATGATTCACAAGGAAATGTAAGGGACTTCTTGAAAATGAGAACGTCTATCATCAGTGTTTTAATTGGAGTTGGTATGGCACCTTCATTGCCAAAGCTTGTGCAAGCTGGTCCTCCTGAAGTTCTTTCTGTTATTTTAGATGGACGTGTTGTCGGCTCTATACCTTCGGACATGGTGGAGAAAACTGTTGCCTACTTACGAAGATTAAAACTGTCAGTTACTTCAGTGGTATGTTATAATCCAGTTCCCTTTTTATTTCCAAAATTTCCTTCCATGACTTGCACTTATATAATATGTGGCAGATTCCTGATGATTTGGAGGTTGGCCATATTCCTTTGAGCATGGGTGGAGCATATCCCGGTCTGTTTCTGTTCACTTCTCCTTCTAGATTCGTTCGGCCTGTTAGAAATATCTCTGTTCCTCTGGAGGAAAATCATGACATAGAACTTATTGGTCCTTTTGAACAGGTGAACAACCAAAACTTTCATATGTGATGTCTCTTGCCAAACTAAAGTTTTTTGTTGGAATGGAAAAAGAAATATATAGTATTAATAGTCTGGTAAACCTGTGGTTGTATCTAATACCCTTTCTACGGCAATCTAAGTTGTCTGTATCTGTCATGGGCATAGGTTTATATGGAAATAAGGTGTGCAGATGGTGGTGATGGAGGAAGGAGACATAATTTGCCTGCTACTCATGAAGAAATTGATCCAACAGGAATACTCAGTGTGGTTGCTAATCTCACGCCTTGGTCTGATCATAATCAGAGCCCGCGGAATATGTATCAGTGTCAGGTTTTATCTCACATATTGGCTAAAAGAAATCTGATGATTTTGTACACGCTTCTTACAAAATGGCTAATGTCAAGTATTTTACTTCCCTCATGTTCAATTTGTAGATGGCCAAACAAACAATGGCTTTCTCTTCACAAGCTATTCACTGTCGTGCAGATCAAAAGATGTACCATCTTCAGGTTGGATCAAATCTTCATAGTTATTGTACTTGTTTGGAAAGAACTGTCCTAAATAAAATCCTGTGTGCTAGTATTAGTGTCTCTGATAAAAAAAAAAATTCCCCTTGGTTGTCATCTCTTAGATTACTATTTGTACTTGAAAAAAGTAAAATTTCCTGCTGCATGATGTCCACAATTTATATGATGTTGGTAACATTTCATAACATCAAATACATAGTTTAACATGAGACAATACTTGATTAAAAATTTCGCAAGCTGTATCCCTTAAAGTTATTGACTCCATATTCTTCTTTACTATTTGTGCACTGCTTTGACGCTAACAAACACTAAAGCGACTTACAAGATCTTTTAAGTATTAAAATTTCTAAAATGCCTCCCCCTGCATCAGCACCAAATATTGTATTTTAATTTGAAATCTGCTACATTTTACTTTTGAAGTGGCTTTTTTTGCATGGACTTCTGTGCTATGGAACGCAACACAAAATTCTGAATTACACTGGAAATCTTGTTTTCACTATTCTCAAATTGATTAATCAATAATAACCTGCCCATCTAATCCTAAAAGAACTAGGGAGATGTATTCGTACTTTACTATTTGATAAATGGTAAATGCACTCCCGTATTTGTCTTCATGTAAATGTCGGAAGTGTCATTTAGTATCTTTGAAGTTAGGGACAATAATGTCATTTTTTTCAAAAGTGGAGTGCGATTATCAATTAGTGGAGTGTAGATATAACCTCCGACGCAACAATTTTTTTAGATATTCATCTGTCAGGAAATTGCTACTTGTAACTGTAGTGTATTGATTGCTTGCTTGGTAGAGTTCTAACCGCCAAGGGCTGAACCTCATGGTACTTTCTCACTTTTTCAAAATAGAAGGTCGAGGGTTGAAGTTTCCATAGGCAGTGTGAGTTTCACGTAGGGAAAAAATAAAATAAAATATCTTTATCTTGGTCTGCTTGTAGAAAGAAAAAATTCCCTTGGTGTCTAGCTTGATGGACTATCATTTGTGAGAGCGCTTACATTGAAAAACACTACAAAGATCAAGAGTTATGTTACTCTTTGTCATATTCATCGGTTCAAATCCGATAAGGGGCTTTGGCTTTTTTAATAGAACTCCAATGGTCGTATTTCCTATTTGAATGGAGAATATAGAATAATGATAAGTCATTCCCTAATGACCACATGTAAAACTGTGTCAAAAGTAATCAAATCCTGATCTGTGCATGTATGAAGTCCTAAAAAGGAAAATTGAAACTGAATGATTTTTTTTTTTTTTGGGTAAGTAAGAGTATATTAAAAAGCCTTCAAAAGGGGAATGCATCCTGAAATCTATACAAGGGCTGAAGCCGAGGAAAAGGTCCTAAGTACTCAAGGTACCCAAAAAATCAACAATATCCTCTATAGGTTTACAATTTCTCCCCATCTCCCAACTAAAAAGAGAACTAATAATAAGAAATTTCAAAGCCCTAATGGAAGATTCTTCCTTGCCGAAAGATCTTCTATTCTGCTCCTTCCAAACGCTTCACCAAACACAAAAGGGAGCCGCCCTTCAAAAATCACAAGCGTGGGCTCCCACAAAACCACCTCTCCAATCGTCTCAATCAAACCCCTCAAAGACCGAGTCACAACCCAATGGACGTTGAACAACCTAAAAATGAGGCTCCAACAGTCATGAGCAAGAGGAGATGATCCACTGACTCCCCATCATTCTTACACATGCAACTCTAGTTCACAGTCACTTGTCTTCTCCTTCTCAGTTTATCCATTGTCAAAATCTTGTCCCAAACTGCAGTCGAAACATAGAAGGCCACTCTAAGAGGAGCCTTCGAGCGCCAAACCGTCTTCCAAGGGAAATTAGAACCAGAGAAGCCGGAAAGACAATAGAACAAGGATAGGACCTTAAACCTCCCCTGAGAGGAGGGCACCTAAAAGATGGAGTCAAGGCCTCTACCATCCAGCTCCTGTCCATAGAAAAGATCCAGGAGTCCGTTATCCATAAACATTGTCCAACTCCCAATCTTGGAAATGTTGCTGAAGTCGCACGTCATCCTAGCGCTATCAATCCGATAACAATCGGCAACCAAGGCATGCCACCTATCAACGGCAATTCTGAATCTGATGTGTTTAGAAAATTCATTCCAACACTTCCGAATGAACTTCAAAACACCCACACCCCCGACTGATCTGACCGCACAAGAGGACCACCCACCTCTCTTCTCCCCATAACGACACGAAATAAGCCTTCTCCAAAGCCGATGTTGTTCACCACCGAATCTCCACCACCACTTGTCTAAGAGAGCCCTATTAAAAGCGGTCAACCTCCTAATGCCCAAACCAGCCAACTGAATAGGCCTACACACCTGCTCCCAACCGACAAGATGGTGCTTGAACTCCTCCCTGCACTACTCCAAAGAAAGTTCCGATGAAGTCTTTCAATCATTCTAGCTATAGAGGACGGGATATGAAAGAGAGAGAAAGTATGTAGGAAGACTCGACAATGTACTCTTCGTAAGAGTGAACTTTCCACCCTTCGACAAATACTGCTTCTTCCACCTATCGAGTCTCTCTCAAACCACTCGATAACAGGATCCCAACCTACCACCCTCCTCCACAGAGCACCCAAAGGCAGACTCAGATAAGAAATTGGGAATGAGCTAACTCCAAACCCAAGGACCGCAGCAAGAGAAGTAATATCCCGAACCTCCCCCACAGGGACAAGCATGCTCTTTCCCACATTTACTTTCAGAATCCTGCAGGTTGTAATGTTGTATCAATATGTTAAATGAATTGAGCAGGATAGAATCCTGCACGTTATATCAATTTATTCTTTGGTTCATGTGATAACGTTAGACTAAAAGCTTGGCAAAAAAGGGATGAAAGACTAAGGAAACAATTTAAGACTTTATGGTTATGCTTTCATGGTTGATCCATTCTTTTCGTATGTTGCCAGGATACATCTATAGCATGGTAATAAGTGGTACTTAGTATGCAACAATAACAGTATGATGGATAAATATTGTACCTGTTTGCCAGTGAATTATACTGCCTAACCGTTGCCCCCTTAACCCTTGTTGAGTAAAGGACACTAGGAATGACACTTTATCAATGGTTAATGTTCCTTCTCTTCAGGTATTCTTTGTCTTAAAACAGTTATCACATAATTTTTATGAGGATGACACATTTACATGGAGAAAAGTGATTTAGATGAAGTTGTAATGGTGGCATTCTCTGTTTTGTACAGGGAAATTTTGATATCAACACTAATCGAATCAAATGAGATGATGAACCAAGAGGGGGAGGGGATGAATTGGTTCATATAACTTTTTCCCACACTTAACCAATTTGTTGTGTTTCCATGTGATGCTTTCACAGATAAGTATGCAATGTATTGAACTTCAATGTCAATCACAGAGATACAAGATTTTACAAGGAAAATCTCTCTTAACTAAAAGATCAAGAACCTGACTATCCATAATGCAAGACCAAACTCTTTCCATTGATATCCTCCACCAGACAAGCAAGTCAACAAATTACGCAAAGAAAGCGGCTACCCAAGCCACGTCCCAATCCAAAGCAGCTCCAAAGGCATCGAAAAAAGACTGAACTTCCAGATGTTCTAAGAAAGAGAGCTCGTCCCAGAAAGTTCTTTGTTAACATCTCTGAAACCCAAATATAGTTCGTGTGAAGTGGGGCATCACTCTCTATATAAAATGGTCAATTGGACTAACAAGCTCGATTGACAGGATTAGAGCTTTACCTACAGATGGAACTGAAAGACAAGAAAACAACGATTCCCAACATGCAATACAGCCAGGCAAGAAGGTTATCAAAAAAAAAAAAAAAAAAAACCTTGGTTCTTGGCCGCAGCAAATGTAAGTCCACTAGTTGTGTTGCAAGATGATACACACTCAGCTGTCTCACACTCTGCACACACCCTTGTACAAGTTGAAACACTAGTTTTCTCACTCTCTACATACACACCCTAGCTCAACAATATGCTCAATAGCACTACCCCCTGCTTGGACCCTTAAAGCTCTCAATAGCTTCTAACAATTACAGTATGAAGTGTCAATACACAAAACACATCTCGTACTAGCTGTTACAACTTACAACAAGATAAGAGTTGATGCACGGCTTTAAAGATGCCAACAAATGAAACCCTTGTTCAACTTCTGTAGAATCTGAGGATTGGGACGTCAATTCACAATGCAGCTTCACCACAGACCTAACTTTGAGTTCCACAACCTTTACTCAACAAAATACACTTGCTTCAATGACAATCACAATGACCACAAGAAGTTAAAGTAGCTTCAGCACACAGAGCAGGCCATTCAGCAGAAAACCTTCACTGACTAGGTCTCAAGGATGAAAACAAGTAGTGACCACAGCACAATCCAACTAATGGTTCACACAACTCCCAAATATCAATATACACTTGCTCATATGATAAGCATGATGAATATAGCAAGGTAACAAAATATGAAGCTCAAAACAGAAGTCTATGCACCAGAAAACACAATTGTCCTGGTTTGGAATGTCACTCTTCAATGTAGCTTCTATATGAGCACCACCAAGGTTTCTACTGCCTTAAATTACTATATAATCTTGCTCAAATGAAAATCAACAGTAGTAGCAAGATATATTTTTGTCAATGCACAATAAGGTCTGTTTCTGCAATTCTAATGGTCTCAAGGGTAAAGCTGGAATTTAGTGTCAATTCAAGCCAGAACTTGGTTCTCACAGCTTTATATTAACCATATACACTTGCTCAGATGAAGGCCATAATGAAAGAAGCACGGTACAACATTGACAGTACTCAATAGGCTTTATTTTAGCTGAAAACCCTGTGGTTCACAAGACCATAACCTGTTATGGACACTTTTCTGGTCAAGTTTCAACTTGAACAACCTCAAATCATTAATTCAACCATGCTCAGATGATGGACAATAAGTGTATAGCATGATATCAACATAACTCAGACTCAAAGGCAAAAACCAGAAAAACAAGCAAAGGATGAGGTCTGAGATATCAAACACAACTACAGCAGGAAAATGGTCATATTTTTGTGTTCTACAGATGTAAAATAGTGAAACAAACTTGCCTCAACCTCTGGGAATCCCTGAAATGGCCTCAAGCTTGAATTGAACCTCTGGACCAACCTTCTGCACCAGCAAACCACCTCACAGCAGCATTATTCTTCATCTTCAAACACACACACACACACACACACACACACACCATATGGATATCTGAGTTGAATTAGCTCACAAATTGGTCTCAAAACCCCATGAATGTGTATTGTTCTTGGTGTCTCGAGTGCTTGTCACAATGTAGGTCTCAAGGGTGCTCACCCAAAAAGGTTGAGAGGCTCATTGCTATCAAAGCATATATGTAGGGTACATTGTTCTGTAATCCTACCCTAAAGAGGAAATCCACATGGCACCATTCACCAATCATTAGACAGAGAATGTTCTGACATTCCCTGAGCAAAAGGATCACAATGACCCTGCCACCTTTGCAAATTTGCCACTAGTGAGCATTCTAATTGACAGCTTATATATGTGTATATAGCAACAATATATATCAAGCTTAATCATTAATGAGGTTGTATACAATCTGTAAATTTGATATTATGTGCACAAGACCACAATGCAACATTTAAGACAAGTGTAAAATTACAATTCAGATGCTGAATTACTGAAATGCCCCTGTGGAAATGTGAGTGACAGACTTCAATTTATTCTGCAGGATTAGACCATGAGCTCATTTTTTGACATTGAAACACTTAAGTCATCCTTGTGACATTACAAAGGCAAACAATCTCTGGAACCAACATGAGATTTCTGTAAAAATTCAGCAATCTGTTACTTTGTAAAATTAACGTCTTAGAATTATTTGCTGAAAAATAGATCTTCCCCTAACATGATAAATTTTAGCGTATCTCTGCTGAATTAGTGTAATCTACCTTAGTCAAATCCTCCGTTCTTAGTCCTTTTCCTGTTATTCTTTTTCCCCTCTTTTTTTATTTTATTATTATTATGCTAATGTAAAATGGATCATCAGACTCCTCAATCTCCCATTGTACGAACAAAAGCCTATGAAAAGTACAGTGTGGACGAATTTCCATCAGGGACAAATGCAATAGTGGCAGTTCTGGCGTATTCAGGGTAACAATGTTCTGGAAGTATGCTGATATTTTATTTATTATTTTTGTAAATGCAGCATTTTATGACTAAATTCCATGCTTTATCCAGATATGATATGGAGGACGCAATGGTTTTGAATAAGTCTTCGGTGGATCGTGGCTTGTGCCGTGGGCATATATACCAGGTATGGTTTTCGCTACTTTGACATGGTGCTACTTTCTGAAGGTTCATTTTTTTTTTGGAAATTTATGCTTGCATTAATGAGATATATTTTCCTAAAACATGCACTATTATTATTATTTTCCCCGAATACGAATATCCGTTGATACATGAATCTTGTTTTTGTTTTGATACAATCTGTTTATATTATAGCACCATGAGACATTGAAGTTGACTTTACACCATACTGCCTTATAGAATCACGCGTGAGATGAGGATCAAGAGAGGAATTGTCTACCAATAAGAAGGATGCATGTGGCGAGTTTCAGTGGAGCTTGCCACGCTAGATCACAATTCCAACAAACTTGAAAAGGAAGGTCATATTGAAGCATTATCACACATGTATGACTTCACTAAGTAATCCAAGGCAAAGACCATTAAGCCAATTGTATTCCACCATATGGAGTCTATTAAGTTAAGAATATGGTAAGTCTCATAAGACTTGCCACACTGGATCAATTTCCCAAAATCTCCTAAAGATCCGGAAAGTAAGGATTGCATGGAGATATTATTGTACATGCAGTCTCATTTGACTTTTCAAGACATGACACGTGGGACTACTCAGCCATCCCCATATGGAATTTGTAAATAGGATTAAAAGAAATAATGTTTTAGAGACCAATCAGAGAACGACATATGGTGAGCTCCACAAAACTTGCCATATTTTATTAAATCCTTGGGATCAAAGAACCATATTCGGCATGCATTATTATGTTGAAATTAGGTTTTGGAAGGGAGCCATTCAAATATTGCTACGTGTCACTAGATTGATTTGAATCTATATAGCATACAATTGTCTTATGGTAACCCCTAAGTTCTCGCAAGATAGGTTGACTGAGTAAAGGAGGGAAGGTGGAAACATGGTGCTACAATGTCTCTTATTTTGTAAGGAAATTCCAACAGTCATTCAACCATCATCAAATCTTCATACCAAGTCAACACAAAGCTTCTAAAATAGGGGACGTGGGTGATCATTCAGAAAATGGGAAGTGCATAATTCTATATATATATATATATATATATGAATATATATATATAGTGATGTTCAACTGCTCCCAGTGAGCAAGAAATAATATACTCACTTTAAATTGTAACCTTAGGATTTAATCCTACGGTTAATTAAAAAAATTGTTATTTTAAGAAATTGCAATTTTTCTAATTAGATATTAATTTTAAAATGACTATTATGGATAATTTCTTTAAAAAAAAAATTAATTAATTTCTTTAATCTCATTTACTTTGAATTGCCACGGCGCCTTCCACCTCCATCACCACCACCTCCATCGCCGCCGCTGCCGCCGCCACCACCACCACCACCACTAGCGGTGGTGGAGGTGGCGGCAGTGGCGGGGTAGGCAGCAGCAGTGGAGGCCGGCGACCGTGGAGGTGGTGGCAGTGCCAGTGGAGGCCGATTATTCCTTCGTAAGGGGACAATTGTGCGTTAATTTAATAGAATATTAATTTTTTTTCGTTTTAAGAAACTATTACTTATAGTAATTTCACAATTAATATTAATTAAAAGAATGATAATTTCTTAAAATAACTATCTCTTCAATTAGCCCTAGAATTAGATCTCAAGGCTATAATTAAAAGTGAGTGTATTACTCCTTGCTCACCAGGGAGTAGTTGAACACTACTCTATATATATATATACTAAATTTATTCATGAAGAAAAGAAGTTGCTAAATCTAAGGACAACGTGCTTTTGTGCAATTCAGAATTGTATGGGAAGAGGGCTCAATGTAAGGAAGGGAATTATAGAAACGTGGGACACTTGGCTGTATGTTAGCATATTAGATGAAGATTAGAAGTTTTCCATGCAACTTCTGATTGAGGCCATGGACAACATGGCTAAAATACTGGTACAATGTGTCTGACATAAAGAAGAAGAGTCCATGCACGTTGAAGAATCATAGAAACGTGGGACACATGGAACCTTATGGAAAGGCCATGTGGAAATTCTAATTGTTGAAGGTTGCCAAAGTAAAGGAAAGAACGTGCACACGAACGAATATATGTATAGAAGGAGAATTCATGCATGTTGAAGAAGGTGGACGCAAAACATGGGTAACTACCATAACATGAGACACTTGGCAACCCAAGGACAAGCCAAGTGGAAGTTGTTGAAACTGCCACATTTCCAACTGCATAGAAGAGCTCTATAAATAGAGCACTTAGGCCTATCAACACACACAACAATACAACATTTTTGCTTATCAATTTCATTTCATGTATCTTTACATTCCAGTAATGTATTTCAATTATGTCTAATACAAGTTCAGCACTTTCTTTGCCTACTTTCCAGCAAGTCGTTCATAGCTCTTTTAATTGCAAGTTCTGCACTTTCAATTCCATCTTTCTTTTTACTAGCACTGGAACAATCCCGAAGTCCTTTTTCAAGGTAAAAAGAACCCCTGGTCATTCCAAGCTTCCTTTTAATCGCCTAATCCCGACAACTTTCCATTGGAATATTGTTTGGAGCTCCTCTTTGGAATGACAGCAGTTCCTGTCAAGCCCGCAACTCCCCTTCCGCTCACCCGGAAGTAGGGACATACGATTTTTGCGAGCCAAACACAACGGATAACATATTTTAATGCACAGAAATGCAAGTTATTATTTTTGCGGGAAAAAAATTGTACTTGTATTATTTTAGTTCAGTTCTTTTTTGGTTTTCGTTCCTATAGCTAGTGAAATAGGTGAGTTCTGCCATAGTTAAAACTATTTGCTTCCATTTATAATAAAATAAAGCATCCTGGTCATATAAGCATCTTTTCTGTGTCAACTCACATGTACACTACTACAATTGTACCCCACTGCAGAAGCTCACTGTTAAGCTGCATGTCAAATACACATTCACCTATTCTATTTTAGGACCCAAATAGTGATGGGTTTTCACATCACAGTTTTGCTTTATCAAGACTCTTCCAGCGATACCTTCCCGGAAAAAAAATAAATAAATAAATAAAAAGACTCTTTCAGTGATAGGCTCAAACAATAAAATTTTCTTTCTCTGGCGTGAGTTCGGTTTCACCCTCCTCATTCATTAGTCAGCTAAGACTTTTCTGTCTTATAAATTCACCAATAAAGACCGGCGCGAGTTCGGTTTCACCCTCCTCTTTCATTAGTCAGCTAAGACTTTTCTGTCCTATAAATGGTAAAGAAAAGAAGTGAATTCCAATCCATCCCTTTGGTCAGGAATTATACATGCACACTCGCTCCTTCATTGGTACCTAACCTCAAAGAGAAATTGACTCCTTGATCGCCTAGTAGTCAATTGAGAATAATAAGTTGTTGAATACCCCGGCCAATTGTTGAATTGGTATTGGTTGTAGTGTTCCGTTTCTGAAGCCAGTAATACCATTTCCAACTGAGAACCTAACCCCTAGCTTAGATCACCGCCCATCTCGGAAACTGATTTGAGGACTTCTGAGCTGCATCTCCCAACTCTCTACCCATCTTCGTCAATTTTCTCTTAGGGCTTGTGTAGTGATCTATCGCCGTACATGAATGTTCTCCCTTTCATTGAGAATCGCTACTTTTTTGGTTCCCCGCCCGGTCTGCCCCCTTCGCCGAGAGTTTGAATATTGATTTGTTCTTTCAACCCCTCAGGTTTAAGAAACCCAAACAGAATATCCCATCGAGATGTACCGAAAAGTCAAGATTCTATGCCCAGCAGACGGAATCTTTAGCGCGCTCAATCAATTCGGTGAATGCTTCTGTCATACTTGATGCTCTTCCTTATTTCATGTCCTGCTCTTCGGCACACATTCTCCACATAAGAGGAAATAAGACGATCCTCAATGAGTATCACAAGCGGTCTCACTCACTCTTACTAGCCCCAGCTGAGTAGGATTTGGAACTGATAGAAGTGTGTGGTTTCTCGTAGATCAGGGGAATCAGACCTTCGTATCTCAACCTCGTCCAAGTCCTCTAGCGGATGGATTATGTTATTCATCTTCTATTCTATTCAATGGCCCATTTGATCTAAAAAGAAGCCCTATGAAATTTGTAATAGGGAAAGGAGAACCTATAAGAATGGAGAACTTTATAACTGTCTGCATGGATATAGGGGATAATTCTAATAAATTTTTATTAGCTTATTCTTTTTCTTATATTCTTTTATCTTATTACGTGTCATTGTGTTCTACTAAAATCTATAGAGTAAAGTTGAAGGTGAGACAGTCACTAATTTCCTTAGCTACTAATTCTATATGAAGCAAGTCTTTACAAATGGGATAAGAATTTGTAGAAGAAAAACGATGGAGATTGAGGAATTCAAGATGAGTGGCGACTTGAGAAATCAAGTAATTGCAGTTTCGTCGGACTTGTGATGGATTGATAGTCAAAATTTTTTGTGAAGTGTGAAAGGTTGTGAGAGTTTTTGCATTTGTTGGATGGGGTTTTGAAAGGGTTTATAGCCTTAAAATCATGTGTGTGAACTCAAATGCTGATCAGATGAGCATAAGTGCTCGATTCTCTGGAACCTTGAGTACTGGTAGTAGAAGATGGAGTAACCAGTTACACAACCGGTTAAAAGCGTGCAATTTTTTACAAAGAAATTTATTTTTAAAAATAAAATAAAATAAAATAAAAATAAATGCAGTTAAAACTTGAATTCAACTTTTTGGGGGGTGCCCCCTTTGCATTAGGTGGTGTATCTGGAAGGAACGAAATAGTAGATCTTTTGATGGAGAGGAATCTCCCATATGACTATTAAAATACCGCCTATTGTCCTCTCGTAATGACTGCTTCAACGGTTACCAACCACGTGCCCGAGATCGTGACATTAAAGGAGATATTTATGCAGTGGCCTCTGTTGGGCCTAAGCGTGGATCTAAAGCGGGCTCTGGGCCTAATAAGACTAATGGGCTGCTAGTTCATCATGGCCCACAGGAGATGAAGAGGGCTGTTTAGTGGTGGCCTAGCAACCAATTGTCAGTTTCTTTCCAGAATGGGCCCAGCCCA